TCTAGACACAACTAATCGATTAATCGATTAGTTGTAACTAATTTATTAAAAAATTAATTTCCAATTGAATGAAAAATCAACTAATTTATTATTTAGTTGCAACTAATCGATTAATCAATTAGTTGCAACTAGTTATCAATTGAAACTACCTAGATGAAGAAACGTATTTGTCTAAGCATTTACAAATCTTTCCTTCCACAGTATTCAGGTTTCCTGGATATATGATATTACACTGGGTTTGTTAATATAAGGTAGTATAGAAATTTATCTATTTTTCATCAAATTCGTCTTCTGTATTAGATTGAATAATATTATTTCATTTTGCAAGAAAACCTTGCTATTCATCCTCTGTTTCTTTCGAAAAATATGGCTTGCAGTTTTTTAAGACATTCTTACTAATATGCTATACACAAAGTATATTTGTTGAATTAGGAAAGATCATTCTGAGAGCGTTCATGAGAGCCAACTCTCTATCAGTCACAATGACGCTAGGCTTCTCTATTTCATCAAACAATCTTAAAACATGTGTTAGGGCCCAATTGTAATCTGTTTCTTCTTTACTTTTCATGAACACGAAGCAAGTATAAAAGGTTGTATTAAAACTGGTTATATCTACAATACTTAATAATAGCATTTTGAATTTGTTTGTTTTGTAGATACAATCAATAAGAATTACTGTAGGGTATTGATGAATAAGACAAGTTGATTCTTTATATGCAAAAAACAAGTGAGTAACAGAACTGGTATTATCATATTTGTACTTATACAAAAAATCGCCTTCTTGAAGCTCATCTACTAATGCCTAGATGGAAGTTTGACTAGCCAGATTTTGTTGTCGAAGTTTTGCATGCGTATTATAAATATCACTGTTAATGACTAGCACTGATAGATTATTTTGTCAAATTGTCGATACAATTTTACGGGGACTTGAACCAGCAATAGTCATCAATCAACATTTTTTATCTGTTGCTCTGTGAGTCAATAAACAATAGGATGCCTTAATATGTTGTCTGAGAGATTATGATTATATGTAGCATTACAAACCTCCAAATACTATGAGCTATTGCATTGGGCAGCATACAATTCAAAAGGACAGTCTATTAACCTAGTGCTTTTTTGTCTACTATATATTTCTTCAGATAACCCAAGAGAGTTACTATAAACACCATCTCAATCACAACATAATGTCATATTTTTCAATTCACCATGCTTATCTTTCTGAGTTTTTTTTTTAACCAATGCGTAGCCTTGAGAATTTGCAAATTTTTGTACACTCTGAAAAAGTTCATTGGTACTGTTGTATACTTCAGAAGGAGGAGAAAGCATGATTTATTGACAATAAAAAAAAAATTAATTAATTATACGAAAGGTTTGTTGACACGATTTATTAACTTATATAATACTTGATGTGGAGATGATTTAGATAGAGATAAGAGAAAGAGTACAAAGAACGAAGAATTGCAAAAAAAAAAAAAACTAAGAGAAAAAGCACAAAAAATGAGAATTACAAAAAAAAAAAAAAAACACTAAAGAGAAAAAGCACAAAGATCGAAAATTACAAAAAAAAAATGAAATATTGCAATAGTAAATTAATTTTCAAAATGTTTACAA